TAGCCGGGGGGGGGCGTAGCAGCCCGACAACGGCTGCCGAGGATCAACGGAATAACGACGAAGATGCCAATAAGCAATGGAGTCGCTACCCGTTCTGAATGGAGGAAGCACACTATAGCATGCCAGAAAAGGCACCATGAGGGCGATAGCGCCAGTGGGAGCTTACACAGTCAGAAACTTGAATGTTTACTCAATCAGATGGAAAGAGCAACATTTAGTTGATGATGCCATAAAGTACCAGTTCACTATGAGATTCTCGTCTCTGGAATCCTGAACCTCTGCGGGTGGAAGGTATTCTACTCAGGTGTCGATATCAGGGTGCGGGCTCAGGCCGATGTTGATGTTCTGTTAGGACCCAACCTCGAAGATAGAATCATTGAATGGAAGCCTGTCAGCGAAAGTCTGACAATCATTCGTTGAAGTTACAACAGGCCAAAACTTTGACCTTGTAACAGGACTTGGACTTAAGGGAGAATATGCGGCCTTCTAGGACATAGAAGGTGTTCCGTGCGAAGTGCCGACTACGGATCGAAACTTTAGAAACTGTCTTTGAGGATGCGAAAGCATGTAAATATGAGTCATTGATGAGCATATCACAAGAAATGACTGGGAGATCAGACTTGAAACTTCGATCAATATTGACGGTAAGTGATAATTATTTTTTAAAGTGCCCAAGATGCTTTTCGAAGTAACAGCTGTTACTCAGCCGGGAGACAATGATCAGAGTGGACTTTCAAAACTTCTCTCTCTTGTTCATCTCGTAGCAGAAGAACGGAAGTTACCATGTACTTGGTGACAATCTGGACAACCTCCGATACAATTTATCCTCAGAATATCTTTAATACCAAAACAGGATGATGATGGGGGTGGTATTTTGCATAAGCGCTCCTACGGAAAAAGTAACATTGGAGAAATCGGTAGACAACTGAAAAACCGAATCAGTGGACACATGAATTGTATCGCAAGTGCAGATTGGAAGTGTTCTACCATTTCAGAGTACTACATACTAAAAGCCAGATCACACAATGAGATGCAGGCTGTGTCGTCCGCAATTGAGACGGTGGCGGAAAATAGCATTCTTTCAAGCAGTCACAGTGGGACGAACAAGAACTAAGATCGACAGTGAGGAAGAAACTTGCAAGGTCAGTGAAGCATAGCTTACTGGTCATAAGCATGCCTGAGCATCAACTGGTACTTTATTAAATTAAGTGTATGCAATTTTAATTCGCGGGTAGCCCTCGTTAAAACTTATCCTTATGTTCTTGAAACCTTTCCCATATATCAAAAAGATTCAAAATGTACGTAGAAAAACTATGCAGCCGGCACCAGAACAGGGGCAGCTGTTCTAGAAATGGGAGAACAATCGCATCAGGTTGGACGATACCCACATTGGCTCGCCAACAGGAGATGCAATATCGTTGCGGATGTTGATCCGCATTCGACAGTAGTTGTGCGTTCCTCAAATCTGAGTCGAAATACATTTCTTTAAATAATTAAAGGAAAAAAACCATTTAATTAAACTAATAGTTGTAAACTTTCGTCAAAAGCTGGTGCCAAAGTCCTCTTGAAAACTTCTTTCGAAGACCACTACTAATTTAACGAGATATTCTCGACTTGCGGTCTCAAAACCCTGTTTCAAGCGAGTTATAATAGTGAACATGGATTGAACTCAAAGCTGTGCAGAAGGCGTCGAAATATTTCGTTGAGATAAAATACTCTCTACAAAACAACAAATTGAATAAAGTTTTTGTATCAATTAGCCAATCAGTCATTGGTCAGTGCATTCACTCACCCATTCATTCGTTTATTCTTTCATTCAGCCAGTGGAATAGCCCGAAACCTCACCATAATTCAGCATCACGTTTCTGTACTGCATTCCTATTGCCCACTATCTTTATAGTTTAAGGTTGTATTTGACTCGGCTCTCGCTTTCCAGCGAATGCTAACTGCTGCCAGACCGGATCTGAAACTCGGCTGTTGTGCGTGTTCCTGACTCTACGGGACGCGATCAGCATTCAATCGCAAGACCATCGTTCGCTTGGTTTTTCTCCTACCCGGTGATAGTCTTTTTGACCTTGATCAGTCAGAACGTCGCAAGCGTCCCTCGCTCTCTCCAGATATGAGCAAACTTATATGCAAAAAACTAACAGTAATGAGAGGATGAATAAATCCACGTGCAACCTGAAATTGCTGAAATCTCACAGATGACTGCTGGAATCGCTTATCTTGGTCTCTGGGGGTTTTTGCTCAGACGATCGTAGGCTATTGACTTTAAACACTGTCAACGGACGGCCGATGCGACATGCCAATATTTGGCACTTTTCGATCGTCGTGGACGACGGTGCCAGCTTGAAACGAGTGCCGTGTCAGGAAGGTTTGAAGGATGAGTCAAAAGAGTTTTACGACCACGCGAGTGAACATCGAGACGGAAGACGGCTTCCGACTGCGCAGCTGCGGAATTGAGGATCTACCGGCTTTCAACGATGTGCTGATGACGGTCTTCTACGACATGCAACTGTGCAACTTGGCGTGCTGCTACCGCGCCTCGCCGGACACCTTTTACGTCATCGAGGAGGTGACCACTGGCAAGACGGTGGGGGCGATATCGTTGAACCGGATCAGCGAATCGTTCATGTGGCAGCACGACGCGGTGTTGTTGCCGGCCTACCAACACCGTCGTCTGTTCTCCACCTTCGAGCCGGCCCTACCGCACGCTCCAAGTTACGGCGGTAACCGCAACCAGTCGAGCTTGAGCTGCTTTCGCAAGGAGCCGTTGCTTTTCGCCCACAAACAAAAGGGTTTTTACGGACAGGTGAGACTTGCACGAAGGGTGAAGGCATCGTCCCCGCCCGGCTTCCACATGGCTACCTTCCGGTGAGTTTCAGTGTCAGTGTGACAAACCATAACTGTTTATGGAAGTTCAAAAGGTTAATACTGTCTACAAGCAGGCTGCAATTTGTTTACTCATCAGGTGTCAGTCTTCCATATTAAATAATGACTGCAAAAGTGGATGAAACTAAGGAGATGAATTAAGTCTGATTTACTGCCATAATTAACTGTTTAAAAAAAAGAAAAAATGAAAACCCTGTAATCCTTGGAATGTCGGTCTTCCTTGCACGCTCATGGTGCGGCCATTCCTGGTTCCTTCGCTTCGTGATGCTGTTGACGGGGTATCGTTTTCCATTTGCACGCGATTGGCCAGTGACGTGTGATCTGCTTTTTCCTTCCAGAGCGTGATGCTCATTTACCAACCTTGCAAGGAAGAATGGCAAGTGGCCCTAATCGGGGTTCGAACCGGCCTGAGGCTGGTCGGTTCTGAGTCTGAGGCAGTGCCGATGGAATGACCCCGGTATGAAACGATGCATGGC